GTTCAGATGATGCTTGAGGCAAAGGATCCGGTGTGGATTCCTCCAGCTCCAAGTCTGAGCCCGAGTCCCAGGCCATCACAGTTTTAGCTGAGATTCCTGCTTTGCAGAGGCTTGAATTAGATCAGGCTTTCTCAACCTCGGCCCTCCAGGTGTTTTTTGAGACTACAATTCCCATCATCCCTGTCCACTGGTCCTGCTAGCTAGGGATCATGGGAGTTGTAGGCCAAAAACATCTGGAGGGCCAAGGTTAAGGAAGCCTGGACTAGATGAAACTTGGGGTAAGGTAAAGGTAAAGGTACCCCTGCCCGTATGGGCCAGTCTTGACAGACTAGGGTTGTGCGCTCATCTCACTCTAGAGGCTGGGAGCCAGCGCTGTCCGCAGACACTTCCGGGTCACGTGGCCAGCGTGACAAGCTGCATCTGGTGAGCCAGCGCAGCACATGGAACGCCATTTACCTTCCCGCTAGTAAGCGGTCCCTATTTATCTACTTGCACCCGGGGGTGCTTTCGAACTGCTAGGTTGGCAGGCGCTGGGACCGAGCGACGGGAGCACACCCTGCCGCGGGGATTCGAACCTTGGGGTACCTTCCAACAATTCTCTATATCCCTAATTCTATGACTATAATCCTGATCCAGCAGACACATAAGCTTTTTATGCTAGTTGAATTTATTTTTATATACAGTCGTACTTTGGAAGTCAAACGGAATCCATTCCAGGAGTCCGCTCAACTTCCAAAATGTTTGGAAACCAAAGTGTGGCTTCTGATTGGCTGCAGGAAGCTCCTGCAGCCAATCGGATGCCCCGTTGGATGTTTGGCTTCCAAAAATAGTTTGCAAACCGGAACAGTCACTTCTGGGTTTGCGACGTTAAGGAGCCAAAACGTTCAGGAACTAAGCTGTTCGACTTCCAAGGTACGACTGTATACAGTATGTATACACACACACACACACACACACACACACAGCATATGATCATTTTACATATTTTACATTAGAGACTACAGTGGTACCTCGGGTTAAGAACTTAATTCGTTCCGGAGGTCCGTTCTTAACCTGAAACTGTTCTTAACCTGAAGCACCACTTTAGCTAATGGGGCCTCCCGCTGCTGTCGCACCGCCACCAAACAATTTCTGTTCTCATCCTGAAGCAAAGTTCTTAACCCGAGGTACTATTTCTGGGTTAGCGGAGTCTGCAACCTGAAGCATATGTAACCTGAAGCGTATGTACGCCACAGAGGTACCACTGTATTGCAATTAAGGGGTATAGAAACGGTCAGAAGAAACGGTTTTCATATACATTCCATTTTTACGTGTGCACCTCGAAATCGCTCTGAGATGCTTCATAGGAAGTGATTCATAAACAGAATAATAGTAGTCGCCGCTGCTTGAAATGGCAGCTCCGCCTGTGCCTATTGCAGTTGTGATGCTCAATTCACATGTGTCAGCTGCTGCCTGATGTGGCAAAGTGAGCCTGCTTGGTGTACCAGCCCTCCGTAACCAGCAACCGTAATCCGGGTGATACGTCCCAGCTCCAGCGCATGCCAGATCTGCCGTGCATCCGTTCGCCGCTTCCGCCTTGCGTGCCGTGCGAAATCCCTCGTTGCCCTGGCAGGGGAGGGGAGGAAAAAACCCAGCTGAGCTGCAAAAAAAGGTGCGAGAGGCTTCCCCTCCTTCTGCCTTCGACTGTCGTGACTTCAGAGCACATTGCAGCTGACACAGATTTGTAGCCGTCTCCATGGCAACCGAGACGGGGCGAGTTGTACGTGAAGCCTGTTCATTGTTAAGTTTCTAATTTCAGAAGAGGCTGTCGGATTCTTCATCACTCTCTGGGGAGTAAGATCAGGGCTATTTAATCTCGGCTTCCCGCACCCTCAAACTGCCAGGCCTCTGCTTCTTCTTGAAGACCTCAGCCACACAATCCAGCACAGGATCAAGTACTGTGTAATATTTCAAGGGGTGTGTGTGTGGCTTTTCTCACAGCGCTGTCCCCAGCCTACAAACATGTGTACGTCATCTTTTTCCCGCCCTGGAGATATGTCTTGTATGAACAGGGAGAGCAAGTGAAAGATCCCGCAGTCAGCACCTATTGGCCATTTACTGTGACGCCAACAACACACCTTGCCTCAATCTTCGGAGCTCTTTCTCAACTGTGTTTGAAAAAAATGTTTGGGAACTGAAGGATAACTGTCTTTCTACAGAATTAGTGATGGTTTCGGCTACACAGATAAATCATAGTATCATAGAGTTGTAGGGTTGGTTGGAAGACACTGTGAGGGTCATCTAGGCAAGAATCTCAACTGAAGCATCCATGTCAGATGACCATCCAGCCTCTTCTAAGAAACCTTCACTAAAGGATAGCCCACAACCTCCTGAGGGAGACAGTTCCACTGCTGAACAGTCATAAAGTTCTTCCTGATGTTTAGTCAGAATCACCTTTCTCCAGAGGAGGAGAAAACAAGTTTGCTCTGTCTTCCATGTGACAGCCCTTGAGATATTTGAAGGTGTCTATCCTATCTCCTCTCAGTCTCCTCTTTTCCAGGCTAAACATACCCAGCTCCTTCAACCGTTCATCATCAGTTTGGTTTCCAGACCTTCAATCATCTTGGTTGCCTCCTCTATAGTCATTCCCGCTTGTCAGTTATCCTTCTTAAATTGTGGTGCCCAGAACTGGACACCATATTCCAGGTACGCAATAATATTTGTTCCGCCGAAAGGTCCACGAGGAAAGGTGACAACATTTGGAGATTCTTAGTATTGAGAAAAGGCGAATGACAGAGGAGTGTGGAGGATTGTGCGTGGCGTTGAGAAGCGGCTGGAGAAAAGGTTCTTCTCCCTCTCTCACAAGACTTGGGGCCATCCAACAAATCTTTGCGAGATCCAGAACGGACGAAAGAAGTGCTTCTTCACTCACATCATGTGGTCAAATTGTGGGGTTCTCTCACTCGAGGGGTCATGACGACTCTCAACTAGGTTGGCATTAAAAGAGGGTTAGACAAATTCATAGAGGATAAAACTATCACTGCCAATGATGGCCATGTTCTACCTCCACTGTTGGCGATGGAGCGGGGGGGTGTCTCTGAATACCAGTTGCCTCTGGGCAGCCCCAGCAGCACTCTTCCCCCACTGGTGATTCCCAGAACCTGTGTCAGGAGTGCATGCAGGAGCCAGGCCCTGTGACCAGTAGGGCTTCGCAGGACTGGGGCCTTCCTAAGTTTGTTCTGGAGGGGCAAGGCACAGGTGAGGCTGCTTGGTAACTCACTGCACCTGGTGGCAAGAGCCGGGAAGGGATATAAGGTCAGCATTTCCCTTTGGCTCTTTGCCACAGCAACACATTTCCTGCCTTGCTGCATGTGGCTCCTTGCTTCCTGATCCTCGGACCTCCTTGACTCCTTGCTTCTCCACTCTCGGAACCTTAACTTTGTGACTCCTTGCTTCTCGACCCTCAGACCCTTGATTTTGTGACTCCTTGCTTCTCGACCCTCGGACCCTTGACTTGTGACTCCTTGCTTCCTGACCCTCGGACTCCTGGCTTCTGGACTCTTGTTCCTGCTCCCATCCTGCCATCTTGCCCCTGGTCCCGACGTCCTCAGCTGGGACTTTGATTGCCAGTAGACCGGACCGTGACAACTTGTTATTCAGAGGCATACCACCTCTGACATTGGAAGGGAGAACATAGTCATTGTGGCCAGCAGCCATGCCATGTAGCCCTGTGGGGGGATGTTGGGGACTAATTCGTAATTACCGTATCATTGATGGGGTGAGGATGATGAGGATGATAATTAGCTGTGGTTCCTGAACTGCAGGGGGTTGGTCTGGAGGACCCTTCAGATCCCTCTCAACTCTACAATTATATGATATTATTTTATTTATTTATTTATTTATTTATTTATTTATTTGTACCCGGCCCATCTGGCTGGGCTTCCCCAGCCACTCTGGGCGGCTTCCAACAGAATATTAAAATACATTAATCTATTAAACATTAAAAACTCCCCTAAACAGGGCTGCCTTCAGATGTCTTCTGAAAGTCTGGTAGTTGTTTTCCTCTTTGACATCTGGTGGGAGGGCGTTCCACAGGGCGGGTGCCACCACCAAGAAGGCCCTCTGCCTGGTTCCATGTAACTTGGCTTCTCACAGCGAGGGAACCTCCAAAAGGCCCTCGGCGCTGGACCTCAGTGTCCAGGCAGAACGATGGGAGTGGAGACGCTCCTTCAGGTATACTGGGCTGAAGCCATTTAGGGCTTTAAAGGTCAGCACCAACACTTTGAATTGTGCTGGGAAACGTACTGGGAGCCAGTGTAGGTCTTTCAAGACCGGTGTTATGTCTTATGTCACCGCTCCCAGTCACCAGTCTGGCTGCCGTATTCTGGATTAGTTGTAGTTAAAGGTAGCCCTACGTAGAGCGCATTGCAGTAGTCCAAGCAAGAGATAACTATTAGGATGATACCATATTATGGCGCAAGCAGAGCACAGTGACTGATGTTGTTTCTGGTGTGACATTTTATGGAATGTTTCAAACCCCGGGGATATACTTCTGAAGAGTGTTTCCAGCCCCTGCTTTCCCAACATGGATTTTCTCCCTTCTCCCCTGAAATGGTACGCACTTTCGTTCTCAGAGATTGACCAGTATTCACCATGAACTTCAAATGCAATTAATTAAAGGGCTGCAGGGTGTGAAAGTGGCTTTGACTGAGACTGGGCTTAATCAGCTTGTAAGTTGTGCTGCCCGATTGTTGCACCAATGTGAAGGAAGACACACCTTTTTTGATACCTGAGGTGTGTATTTTTAGGATCCACCATATTTCTGTGTTTGCAAACTGAGTTGAATTCCTGGAGAGGCCTGAGTTCAAGTGACGCTCACTGGGTTGTTTTGACCTCTTGCTCTCAGCCTAGCCTACCTCACGGGGCTCTTATGAGGCCAAAATGGGGGCAATGTGTATGATCACAGATGTTGGAAGGGATCCGAGGGTCATCTAGTCCAACCCCTGCAATGCAGGAATCTTTGCCCAGCATGGGGCTTGAACCCACAACTCTGAGATCAAGAGTCTCATTCCCCACCAACTGAGCTATCTCTATGTCTACAGGAGCCCTTTCTAAGAAGACAAGCAAACAAATAAGGACAAGGAGCTCAGTGTTTCAAGGAAGGGGTGAGATGGGAAACCCACACAGCTGGTTGTCGTTTCCATTTATAACTCTGCAGACTGACAGATGTTGATCTTTCTACAAGTGTGGATTAATTGCTTCTTGATTGACACCCTCGCATCCCTGGATTTAATCTCCAGAAGATGGTGAGCTCACACATTTGCGGGGGTCTCGTGAATTCTCAGCTTGAGCGCTGTTCCTCTTGCAGCAATAGGAGTGGGGAATCCATAGCCCTGGAGAGGCTGTTGCATTCCAACTCTCATCAGCCTCATTCACCATGAATCAAGGTGATGGAAGTTGTAAAATGTGCAAAAGGAAAAGCAAAACAGCACAGTACGTAACTAGGACATTCCTAGTATTGTGTCACACTGCAAACGTTGTGTGCATTTTTTTAATACTAGCTGAGCTTCTGTTTTGAATTGCGCTGCTACTGTTTCCCAATATACCGTATTTTTCGCTCCATAAGATGCACCTGAGCATAAGACGCACCTAGTTTTTAGAGGAGGAAAACAAAACAAAAACATATTAAGAATGAATAACTATATAGCCACCTTGTAATTTATTCGTTTCTTGACTTAACGGTTGCTTAGCACCTCCCATTTCTTTTGGACCACAACGGCCACTGTCCCTGGCCATTGCCTATACTGGCTGAGGATGGTGGGAGTCTTAGGCCATGACACCTGGAGGGCCACAGGTAAGGGAAGGCTGATTTATGGGTCAAATCCTTGGATGGTGCTTCTGCCTAGTGGTCCTGCCCATTCAGACTTTGCATTAGCTGACTCATCCTCGGAATAAGCCTCTTCCACTTTCAGTCGTACCCTTTGGCGTCCTTGCCAAAGCAGCTGGAAAAACGTTCTGATCGCACTGTAGGCAACTTATAGCCATTAGCCTCACATCTGGGCAGAATCAAGGCAGCAAGATAAAGGACTGAATCGTGGGAGAGACCAAAAGGGAAAGAGACTCTTTGGCATCCAATGAAGTTGGGTGATTCAGGATAGGTAGAAGAAAGTGCTTCTTCAAGTTGCACCTTGGAAGCTTCTGGATAGACAAAAGAAAAGACTTCTTCATGCAGGGCATAGGTAAACTATGGAACTCGCTCCTACAGGAAGCAAGGATGGCCACCATCATCATCATCATCATCATCATCATCATCATCATCATCATTTTATTATTTATACCCTGCCCATCTGGCTGGGCTTCCCCAGCCACTCTGGGTGGCTTCCAACAAAATATTAAAATACAGTAATGCATCAGTCATTAAAATCTTCCCTAAACAGGGCTGCCTTCAGATGTCTTCTAAATGTCAGGTAGTTGTTGTTCTCTTTGACATCTGGTGGGAGGGCGTTCCACAGGGTGGGAGCCACCACCAAGAAGGCCCTCTGCCTGGTTCCCTGTAACTTGGCTTCTTGCAGTGAGGGAACCGCCAGAAGGCCCTTGGCACTGGACCTCAGTGTCTGGGCTGGACGATGGGGGATGGAGATGCTCTTTCAGGTATACTGGACCAAGGCCGATTAGGGCTTTCAAGGTCAGCACCAACACTTTGAATTGTGCTCGGAAACATACTGGGAGCCAATGTAGGTCTTTCAAGACCGGTGTTATGTGGTCTTGGCGGTCGCTCCCAGTCACCAGTCTAGCTGCCGCATTCTTGGATAGCTTTAAAGAAGGGTTAGAGAAATGTATGGAGGAGAAGGTTATCAATGGCTAATAGCCATGAAGGCTCTGTTCTTCTTCCATAGCTGGAGACAGCCATGCTTCAGAACAGTGGCTGCTGGAATATACAGGAGGGGAAGATGTTCTTGTGCTCAAATCTTTCATGCTGGTTTTCCATAAACACCTGGGTGGCCACTGTGGGAACAGGATGCTGGACAAGGTGGGCCAGATCCAGAAGGCTCTCCTCATGTTCTTATCTACACCCTTGTGCAAATTAACTGAAACAAAGCATGTTTTCTATCTTACTCATAATCCTGTACTCAAAACAAACATGAAAAGTCAGTTGATCATTATGCTGTCGGAAGCCTGCAGCTGATAGAAGGAATGATGCGCTCGCCACAATATATTGAGCTTCTACAAAAGAGAGTTATTCCAGAGCTGGAAAAGAGGCATCCTGGCTGTACTGGGATATTGCAGCAGGATCTAGCCCCCTGTCACACATCGAAAGCGGTGAGGAAATTCATGACAGAGCAGCAAATGCAGGTACTTGATTGGCCACGGAATTCCCCGGACGTAAATCCCATTGAGAATTTGTGGGCTATATGCAAAAGTTGCCTCTGTGCTGTAGACTGTACGACGATGGAGAAGCTCCTTCAGGCACTGATTCAAGTGTGAATCAGGGATCCAAAAATCAACAGTGACTGTTCGAAACTAGTAGACTCAATGCCAAACCCTGTTCAAATGCTGCTTAAAAATAGTGGAGGTCATATCCATTACTAATGTACGTATATGTGAGTTTTGCACATGTATATGTGAGTTTTGTACAATAAACTATATTGTTTGTTTCAATTAATTTCCACAAGGGTGTATTCCCCTGGAGATTCCATATTCAGCTGAACGTCTTCTCTCAAGCAAGCTTTACCTATGGATTTTGCCGAGAACTGGACTTCCTCCTTCCTTCGCAAATTCGTGTCCTTCTTCACAAAACATGGGGATACCCTCCTCTTCCGAGCATGATTTGCAGCTGGCCAAGGGCATCGATTCTGGACTTTGCTTTCATGATCAGCCCATGAGTCACACCGAGGGCTTCTGGGAGGTGGCTGGTGATTTTTCTTCTGCTCTCTGTCTGTCATATTTCACAAGAACAGTGAGCTGTCGAAGGGATTTTCCTTTGTTCCGGTGAAACACCCAGGATGCATCTTCCAAGGTTAATTCAGTTTTGGAGAGGAGCAGGCGGAAAAGTGTGATGGTTGGGGAGGGAGTGTTACATGGGAAATTTGCTTTATTGGAGGCAAGGCTGGAGAGCTCTCTCAAAAAGAACTCCTGGAGCTCTTTGCTTGTAAAGCATTATTAGTCAACGTAGCATAAAAATCCATAGTATTGTATTTTCCCAGATCCCTGTTGGGTCCTTTATTTGTGATAACAGCGCGAGGAGGAGAGGGGAGTCATAAAAATGCAAGGGAAATGAGCCTGGCTTGCTGTTTCACAACAGAAAAGGTTTTTCTTAATCACAACGATGGCGTGTCTTAAGATAAATAATCCAGGATACATGGGCTAAGGCAGCCACTCATCAAAAAGAGGCTAAGCAAAGAAGAAGGCGCTCAGAACATGTGTTTGAGATCATAAGAACTTAAGCAGAGCTGAGTCATGCTGAAGACCCATCTTGTCCATCATCCTGGTCTCATATTGGCCAATCAGAAGTGTACAAACGCATGCTGGTAGCTTTGAGAACACTGTCCCACCATCTTGTCCTCTGTCATCCCCTTCTCCTTGTGCCCTCAATCTTTCCCAACTTCAGGGTCTTTTCCAGGGAGATACATGTACCTTGTTGTTGTTTAGTCGTGTCCGACTCTTCGTGACCCCATGGACCAGAGCACGCCAGGCACTTCTGTCTTCCACTGCCTCCCACAGTTTGGTCAAACTCATGCTGGTAGCTTTGAGAACACTGTCCAACCATCTCGTCCTCCTTCGTCCCCTTCTCCTTGTGCCCTCCATCTTTCCCAACATCAGGGTCTTTTCCAGGGAGTCTTCTCTTCTCATGAGGTGGCCAAAGTCTTGGAGCCTCAGCTTCAGGATCTGTCCTTCCAGTGAGCACTCAGGGCTGATTTCCTTCAGAATGGAGAGGTTTGATCTTCTTGCAGTCCATGGGACTCTCAAGAGTCTCCTCCAGCACCATAATTCAAAAGCATCCATTCTTCGGCGATCAGCCTTCTTTATGTCCAGCTCTCACTTCCATATATCACTCCTGGGAAAACCATAGCTTTAACTATATGGACCTTTGTTGGCAAGGTGATGTCTCTGCTTTTGAAGATGCTGTCTAGATACATGTACCTAACTCTCATTTAAAAACCAACCAAGTATTGGCCATCGCTGCATCTTCTGGGAGCAGATGCCTTCATTTAATGATGTGTCCTATATGAAGCATTTTCTTCTTTCTGTCAGCAAATGTTTACCTTCAACGGATGGTCCCTTTGGAGTTTGGCATTGTAATAAAGGCGGAAAAGCTTCTCTTCATCTACATTCTCCATCCTGTGCATAATTTCTCATACCTCTGTCGCACAGACAATCCCCATTCTTTCCCCCTAAACTACACTTTAGAAGTAGAAATAAGAGAAGCGATGAAAATGCAATTAAAAACCGTACAGCATCTAACACAGTGCAGCAAATTTGCTACAGCTGGCAGACGCATCATTAAGTGGGTCCGCCATGACCCAATTGCCAAGTGGTCTGCTGGAGTCATCATAGCGATCCGTAGTTAAAAGCAGAAGTTGACAAATGTGGGATATAGCTATATGATGATAAATTAACATGTGCCATTAAGGTAAGTTGGGGAATATGCAGGAGAAATGATTTTGAGGAGGAGATATGGAGGGTGTTTGTATGATTTGTACTGTTAAAACGGAAAGGGGTCAAACCATTGCAAAAGGCGTTGAAATTTTGGGAGGTTGGATAGTTATGATGGAATGGTATCGGGGGTGGGGTGCACATTATTATTCTTATTTATTTATGATTATTAACTTGTAACAACAACAACAACAATTGTTGGCAAATGTGGGCTTTTTTTTGCTTTTCTTGTTACTCTTCAAAATTTGGCAACACACATTCCCTCCACTGCCCCTTAATCCTGATTTTATTTTATTTTATTTTTTGGTAGATTTACAAAAAGAAAAACACACACCAATAAATAAATTTTAGAAAGGGGTAAGATCAGACGCAGATGCACAAAGCCCTTTTTAAAAATAAATTAAAAAAACCAAAACTCCTTGTGCTCCGCCCTGTTCCTGCCCCTCAGAGCT